AAAGAGGGATTTAACAGGACACCGATTCCCAGAACACATTTCAAACATAGGCAAAAGAAAGAAGGATATGGCTGAAACCCATTAGAACACTGTGACCTCTGGCACTGTGAACAGGCCTAACAACTGTAAGTTCAAATCCCATTTCTGATACAGACTTGCTAAGGGCCTTGTCACTACTTTCTTGTTCCTCTATTTCATCATACATAAACTAAGTTTTAATAGTTTATAGACATTCGATATTATAAATCCCAGTTGTGCTCATTTGGATATGGCAAAAATATGTGAATTTTAAAACTGTGTTATGTCCAATAGACCTCTAAGTTACTTTTAACTTAAATGAATACTGCCTCATCAAAATCTAAATATAATTTTTCTTTTTGAAGTGGTCGTGGGTACATGACAACACATTTCTAAAATGTATCTGAAAGATAAACTTCAAAGTCACAAATATTTCTCAAAAATACGGACAATGGTACGTAACCTGCCCTAGAAGAGGGGAAAAAACCCTTTTTTTTGTCCCATTTGGAGAGAGAAGAGGGAACTCAATAGAACTCAAAACTATAGTTAGCCTTAAACAATCAATGGAGTGCTTTACTTATCCCACATACAATATATTTATTCAAGTATCTAAAACTAGCATAAAATACTTTTTTAAAACCTTAGAAAAGAATTTCCAATACTTGGGCCTGCCTTTATATTTTTAAGATAACAGCATGGCACTTATATTTTTTTCTTTCAGAAACCGGATACTTCTGAGTCTAAGAGAGAATGCTTATTGTGAAAATAAAGAACAGATGTTGGAGCAAATAATGGAGAAAGCAGAGTTAAACTGCCTCGGATTAACTCTGTATTCTAGCCCAAGTTCACTAACAGATTGTGTGACTCTAGGTAAGTCATTTTACTACACTATACTCTTCATTGGTTTAAAAAAAAGGGCAACTGTAAGAAGTTTACCTACTTATCTGGAATCTTTATAGAAACTGTTTTAGGAAATATTGGAAAGGAAAGGAGAAAAAAAATAAAAGAACAGCTATTTACAATTGCAAAAGAGTAATATAGAACATAAGAAAAGTAGAGAAATCAGAGCAGGACAAGGGAGACAGAGACAGTATTCATGGAGAGTTACAGTGAAACACTAAGGAAGATAATCCCAAGGAACTTGTTAATTTACCAGATAAAAAACACAGATCATTTACCAGTTACTGAGCGCTAACAAGTGACTCCTATAGCTAATTACCAGAAACAAATTTAAACATTAAATCATTTAATCTTTATAATACTAATAAAGAGGTTCTGTTATTTCTGTTCTAAAACAAGAAAACTGAGGCGCAGAGATTAGCTAATTTGGGTAAAATCCCAGGACCAGAGTTGGCAGAACCAGCTCTACAAAAGTTTCCTATACTGACAATGTGGTGATGGGCCTAAAAGTTAAATATGAACACTTTAGGATGCTACCACAGGTCACACATTCGGCTATCTTAAAGAGGTCATGTACTAAGAGTATAGGCATAAATGATGGGAAAAATGCTAGTGCAAGGATGAACAAACAAGACACACATGAAATGTATGAGCAGCTAGATCTTTAAATATTGTATAAATTTTAAAATGGGCTTTAGAATCTAATTGCTTAAGAATTCTAAATGACTTGAAAATCACTGAAACACATATTTAATTGAACATTTTATGGTATAAGAGAATGCAGAAATATCCCTACAGGAACAAAGAGCCATTATAAATGGAATAGGAGGAACTACCATGTGATATATATTATGTGCAAGGCACTATAAATTTTCTTTACATTCTTTATCTCATTTAATCCTCACAACACAGTAAATACAGTATTATCATCTCCATTGTAAAAAGACAAAAATTAAGGCTTGAGAAGATTAACAACCCAACTAAAGTCAAGCTGGCAATTAGTAAATTTATAGTAAACACTAGGAAAACTGCAGAATACACAAAATATACTTAATAGAACAGATATTTGCTAAGCTTGGATCAAATTTAATCCCATAGAACTCAAAGGAAATCTTTTTCCCCCTTAAGATCATTCAAAAGACCAGACTGCCAGTCAAGCTGTCATGACCACAGATGGGGAAAGAAATTAAAGGAATGTGGTAAAGTTTTCCTTATCGCTTTGGATGTATCTTATCATATTCCCTCTTGCTGCCTCTATACATGTGGTCAAAGAACCATTCAAAGGGACTGTCAAATCTGAACAAAGGGAATATATGAGTGAAAAACCCAAGGTGTGAACATTAACTATTTTGAAAACATATATGCAAGTTAGAGGCAATGCCAACTCATTCATCTAACACTAAACTACAGTGGGCTGAGGTGGGCGGATTGCCTGAGGTCAGGAGTCCAAGATCAGCCTGGCCAACATGGTGAAACCCCAGCTCTACTAGAAATACAAAAATTAGCTGGGCGTGGTGGCAGGCACCTGTAATTCCAGCTACTTGGGAGGCTGAAGCAGGAGAATTGCTTGTATTTGGGAGGCGGAAGCTGCAGTGAGCTGAGACTGTGGCACTGCACTCTAGCCTGGGCAACAGAGGGAGACTCGGTCTCAAAAAAAAAAAGAAAGACAGTAGTTAGGCATAACCAAAATATAATCTGAAGTTCTTGGTTTTTATTAGTGAGAAGAAAGAAAATATAACTTGGATGGAATTTTATCTCATCTTATTGGCAGGCAGTAAGAAGGGAGATCTTTGATAAAAAGAAAATGTATTAGAGTAAGAAGCAACATAGAACAGGGTATTTTTGGTATTTTTATTGTATAGATGGGAATATGTTAGGGAGAAGATTAATATCACACACAGGGAAGGGCAGAGGAAACTAGACATCCCTTCCTTGCCTCCATTTCCATGTAAAGAAACCACAGGGCGAGGTTTAAAAGAGCAGGATTACAGACATAGGGCAAATGGGGCAATTTACGGCTTTTCTCCTGAGGTTTCTTATACATTCCACAGGAATGGAAAAGGAACACCAAGTATTTACAGACTGCTATCATTTCACAGAAAAGAGAGACAGAGAACATCCAATTTGCTTCTAGGTTGTCCAACTCAGATCATCAAAAGAGCAAAAAATGAAGTAATTTAAGAGAGAACTTCTGGCCAGATATAAAGACTGTGCTTATTCACACATTTTCCTTGTGCTATAGTAATGTGAACACGTGGATGGTGTGCAAGAGGGAAAGAAACTTTACAGTTACTTGATATTGTGAGAAAAACATGGAGTCAGGACCAAGAACTTCACTACTGATGTGATGATGAGCAAGCCTGCTAATATTTTTAATGTTCAGCTACCAAACATGTAAAATTAAAAATACTTCTCTTCATTACAGCAAAAATCATTATGTGCAAGAAATAAAAGCAAAGCTTTTATGGCTAAAAGAAGAAGGTATAATAAAGAGAAAATAATAAATTCTGATTCTGATCATAAATTTAAAAAGTCAAATTTCAAATTTGTTTTTATAAAATAAATTGAAACAGAATAGGGACATATTTGTAGCTTTTAGAAATAAATTAGCTGAGAATATATTATTTTTAAAAACTGTAATAAATAAATGCACACTGAATACAAATCAATAACTATCGTTAAAAAACAAAATTTTAATGCTAGAAGAAAAGGCAGATCATCTCGTTTAAGACATAAATGTAAAATTCTTAACAAAAACCCTGTTATTCAAGCAGAACACATAAACAGCTGCTCTTGTTAAAATAAGCCTGAGGGTGGGCTTGCTTTGTCTCTCCTTGCATGGCTCCAGAAACTTTCTACAGGAGTTCTCCTATGGAAGTTTTAAAACCACAGACTGAGTACTACCACTAATTTCTAAAAAATGAGAATATGGTCAAGAGGTAAAGTTCTTCAAAGGCAACCAGAGTCAGGACTAGAACCCAACCCTCTTGATTTAATCTAATATTCTTTAGTCTAATAGTCCAGTATTTGCTCTATGAGTTACTTCTATTTTTTTTTAAGAAGAAAATATGAAGTTCCTTTTTTTTTTTTGACTTTGTAAATACTTCTTTCAAATCTCCTTCTGGCTCAAGATCACTCAACTGTAATCTTTCTGTAAACAAGTAAATATAAGTGAGATCAAATAAGTTTAAAAAAAGTCAGTCACCCCAGGTTCATTCTGTTCAGGATTAAGTAAAGGTAACATTTGTAGGGGAAGGTGTTCAGACTACAAGCTGTGGTGCTGAGAGAGCCCCCAGTATCCTTGTAATTGCCTGAAAACTTCAAGATAAAATATTTCCAAGGGGCATCATGGAAGTTTAACAGAATGTGTTAGACTTGGACGTTCAACAGCTTGTTCATTTTGTCAAAAGCCCTTTGACTGAATGTGGGAAATTTGTAAAACGGAACCTCAATAAATAAATAAATAACGATTTTTAATTTAAGAACCCAGAAAAAAATGTTCACGATTCTCATTCGGATTCCTTATCAAAAGTCAGTGTGAAATATAACTAATTTATCGCAAGTAATTTTATCAGAAACTGTTCATTATCTCTTCCTTCATTAAAAAAAAAACTGCTTTTACGTGCGCTTTCAACAATGTTAGAAACATAAGCATACTCAATTTTTTTGTACCACATATAACACTTTACATGAACCTTCAGATATTAAGTAATGCTTGGATGCTGAATTCTTTATAAAGCCGTTTATAAGAGGTAAATATCTTCACGACCGCCAAGTGGGAGAAAAATATTTCGAAGTTCGTCTCTTAAGTCACTACGTGGAATGCAAAGGAACTCGATTGCAGCAATGTGTGTGTTTATTTTTAATGGCGCGATCCTAAAAACATCTTCAGGAGTTTAGGTTTGCTTCACTGCCTTTTTCTAAATTCAGAGGCTTTGATTTACCTCTTCCAGGAAGACAGGAAGCCAATAAACAGGGAAAAAAGCAAAGGGCGACAATTACAAGGTCGTGAAACCCCACGGCCTCCCAGCTGAAAACAAGACCTCGGGTTTGCACTACGGCTCTCCAGGGCAGACACTGACCTTAGGAGTCTGCGAAACGCCCACGCTCCACGTAACTTTCTCTGAAACATTCTCTGGAATGCTTGTCTTTTCCTAGCCGAATCCGGATTACCAAGGCTTCCGGAACTCGCGGGCTTCCGGAGCGACGCAGGAGCCGGAAGTAGCTAAAAAAAAAATAAAAAGTTACACCAACTAGAACTGCGCTTTAGCGCTGCGGAAGGCCAGAGATGGCCAAACAATCCCGAACGCAGACAAGCCGAAGAGCCGAAGGGCCGAGAAGCCGAGGCGGACACCCGTGCTCGATGATTGGTCGGTTGCCAGGAGGAAATCTGTCTCTGATTGGCAGGAGAGTCACGAACCGGTCAGGCCCGGGTCAGGGGCCGCAAGTGAAGAGGCTACAAGTGTCAAGGGGCCTAGGGGAAGCCGGGGCTTGTGAGGGCAGGGTTTTCTCGGCCTGCGGCCGCCGCCACGAGCCTCCGGCAAGCGCCGCCGAGTGGCGGCCAGAAGCCTCCGCACCTCTGGGGTTCCTTATTCGCTGTAGGAGGAGGACCGGCTGAGGGATGGCCTGATTGGGAGGGAGCCCTCGGAGAGGTGGCTTCGTTGGGCCTGGGGCAGTTGCGCGGCTCTTGGAGACCTCCCGGTCCTAAGGGCCTGTGTGCACAGGGAGGGTAGCTTGTTGATTTCTGCAGGCTCAGGAAGGCAGGTGGCTGGCCCGTCAGTTATCTGCCCTGCAAAGCGCTCCCTGGAGACCCTGTAGAGCAGACCGGACGCGCTCTTGCCTTCCGAGCAGCCCGCGCCTGGCCTCAGGTTTCCCGCCCCCAGAGGCCCTCAGATCTCCCCGGTAACACTTAGGAACTTGAGCAGCCAGGTCTCTGACCCCTGGGAAATGGAGGGAGAGTTTCTGGAAGTGGGGTCTGAGGGAAGAGTGCTCACCAGGCAGTAACGTGTAGTCGGCGTTGAGGATCGCCACTGCCTTCTAGTTCTGAGGTATGGATGGCAGCGTCTCTGGAGAGTTCTAAGGTTTGGATGAACGCAGGCTCTTCAGGATTCCAGCACAGAGTAGGGTTTAAGACCTTCCTAGTTCTTGCCCCCAGACTCGACTCCCTGTCCCTCCAAGGAGCGCTCAACTTCTACAGAAGCTCTGTTAGACATTCGAGGGAGAGCTTATCCTGTAGAAACAATGTTATTAGAAAGGTTTTTTCTTGTTTTTTTTTGCTTGTATTTTTATTTCAGACACTACCCGTGGAGCAGCAGGCTTGCTAAACTCATCCTATGAAATATTATGGCCAGATGAAATAAACTTTATTAATGAACTCTAATGCTGTGCAAATTGTGCAACAATGGTACAAACGAGATAAGAGTAAAAGCTGTAAGTTGATAGGGTTTGGGAGTGGATTTTCTAGAGCTACAGCTGTCCTATATAGCAGTCACTGGCCACCTAAAAAGTGGCTAGTCTGAACTGAGTTCTGCTCTAACTGTAGAACATGCACCAGATTTCTAAAGCATGGTCTGAAAAGAAAAAAAGTGTAAAACATTTCATTAATTTTATACTGATTACATGTCAAAATGAGAATGTTTTGGAAAATTTTAAATTATATATGTGGTTTTCATTATATTCCTTATAGATACTGCAGTTCTAGAAAGTAAGAAAATCTCGTTGAAGAAGAGTACACCTTTCCTTTAGCAATTGTGAAGAAAAGCAACCACGCTGTACCTCTCAGGGAGCCTACAGATGTACTGTGCTTCACTTAATTTTTCAGGCGGGGGGAATGCACACAAAGACTTCACATAAACGACATTTTCAGAAAACAAGATCTGGTTCATAGAGCCTTATGTAGGTCATGTGAACATCACACAGTATCGAATGAAAATAATACAGGTATCAAGAAACTTGAAACATGTTTAATGAATCTCAAGAATGTGGGGAAATGTATAACACTTAAAATTCTGTTAAAAATGTTTAAAATCAATTCTAGATTTTAATGTTTAACCTGTAGATACGGTATACCTTGTTAGTTTTCCCATGAGCTAGTGAGCTGAGGTTCCAGGGAAGCTTTATTTGCAGTTTCTTATACTTTAGAGATATATTTATTTTTCATTCATGTATTTAACAAAAGCTTGTTGAGGCCCGGGAGTTTTGCTAGGTAGTGTTGATAAAAATGTGAAGACAGAAAACAGACATGGCTCTTATTCTCTGAGGACTAATTCATATTAATTCAGAGACATTGAATAAGTAAATAATAACCGCAGCATAGAATATTTTGCTTCTTAGTAAGTGCTTACCTCTGTAAATGCAAAACATGAGTTATTTTAAACCTAGAATTTATATATTCCTAGTGACACGTTAAGAGTCTTTATTAGTGGCCCAGAGCGGTGGCTCATGCCTATAATCCCAGCACTTTGGGAGGCTGAAGTGGGCAGATCAGGAGGTCAGGAAATCGAGACCATCCTGGCCAACATGGTGAAACTCCATCTCTACTGAAAAATAAAAAACAAAAAACAAAAATTAGCTGGGCATGGTGGTGGGTACCTGTAATCCTAGCTACTGAGGAGGCTGAGGCAGAAGAATTGCTTGAACCCGGGAGGCAGAGGTTGCCGTGAGCCGAGATCACACTGCTGCACTTCTGCCTGGTAACAGAGCAAGACTCCATCTCAAAAAAAAAAAAAGTCTTTATAATATAACTTGGCTGTGGACTTTAAAAAATTGGGGAAAAATAAATCAAAGTTAATTTGTTCATTAACTATGAGAAGCTAAAGAAGAAATATTTAAATTGAATCTTTTTATCTTTAAATACATAGAAAATATGAAAATATTTTATAATATATCCTCTTTAGCCTTTTAGCAACTTTTAGATTCTAATAATTTAATAATGGAAATGTAAATAAGACATTGCTTCATGCCCCAATTAGTTTTAAAATGCTGACTTTAAGAAGTTAAATTTATTTTAGAATATTACATAATTTGTAAATCAATGTTTGAATCTTTTAGGAAAAAGTTAGGCATAGATCTTATATTAGTTGACTATTAATACTATTTCTGTAACCAAGTTAGAAGCTCAAAACACCACCAATATATTACCTTACAGTTCTGTAGGTCAGAAGTCCAACATGGTTCTCAAAGGCCTAGAATCAAGGTGTCCAAAGGCCTGTGTTCCTTTCTAGAGGGTTAAAGGAAGAATCTGAATTTTTGCTTATTCAGCTTGTTGAACAAATTCTGTCCCTTGCTGTTGCAGCTGTTGTTCTGTTTCTTTGCTGACTGTCAGCTGAGAGCTGTTTCCAGCTTTTCTAGAGGGCACTCATAGTCCTTGGTTATGGCCATCTTCATCTTCAAAGCCAGTGTCAGTGGATTGAGATCCTTTCATCCTTCTAAACATTTCCTTCCTCTTCTTCCGTTGTTGTACCTTTCCAATTACAGCCTTTTAAGAATCCATTGATTAGACTGAAACTCCCTCTCTCAAGGTTCATAACTTTAATTACATCTTCTATTCCCTTTTGCCATAATAATGTAACATATTCACAGGTTACAGGGATTGGGGAATGGATATATTTAGGAGCCATTATTGTTCCTACCTTAGATCTCAATTGGGGCCATGCAGTATATCCACTATTTCATACCACTATTCTCAATACTTTATGTTAGAATAATGATATTGATAATAGGTGAATTTTATTGGTTATGTAATATGCTTAAGGTACTTTTCTGAGCCCTTTTACTGAATTCACTCGTTTAATCCTCAGAACTACCCTAGGAAGCAAACACTGTTATTATTCCTGCTTACAGATAAGGAAACAGGTACTGAGAGCTGAAGTAACTTGTCAAATTTCTTACAGCTATTAAATGGCGAAATGGTGATTTGAACCTAGGCAGTCTGGTTCCAGAGCTTGTGCATGCTCTGAACCTCAACATAGTAAAGATAATTTCTACGTGTCTGTATTTAACTAAACATGTGTTGATCGTGGCTGTTAGTTCAGGTTCTGACATCACATTGTGGATTCAAATTCCACCTACTCATTACTGCATGACTCATTACTTAACCTCTCTGTGACTTAACAATAAACTAAACTGAACCAAATAATACTTGAAAATTAAACAAATACTATATGTAAGGTACTTAGTACACTGCCTCTACATACAGTCTTCGATTTCATAATGATAGGGATGTGTTTTGAGAAGTGTGTCATTAGATTATTTTGTTGTGTGAACATCATAGAGTATACTTAAACAAACCTAGATGGTGTAGTCTACTATATACCTGGGCTATGCTGGATAACTTTTTGCTCCTATGCTACAAACCTGCACAGCATGTTACTGTACTGAGTACTATGGTAAGTATTTGTGTATGTAAACATGTCTAAACATAGAAAAAGTACAGTAAAAATAATAGTAGTATCTTATGGGACCACTGTTGTATATGTGGGCTGTCATTGACTGAAACATTATTATGCACTGCAAGCAATTGCTAGCTATAATTAATGATGACAATTCAACTTTTACAAACAATATTTATTGTATTTATTGTAAGAAGAAATGTCTCCTTTAGATATCATTTTCTTCTTGTGAAACAAAAAACTGAAAATTAAAATTTTAACTTTAATACACTACAGTGCTATCTTTTTTCTCAGACTGATTTCTCATCACTCCAGTCTAGCATCTATCTTTCTAACCATGGTACTTTCAGTGTTAATTGATCGTGCATTCTAAACGCTTTGTCCGGATTCTAGTATCTGCAGGCTAATGTTCAACTCTCTAGAAGGACACCAGGACTTTTCACACATTCCAGAGACTCTCTCTTGCCAATCCTCTGCTGGATATTTATACAGCCATCAATTCTAACTTCTCACTGTTCTCATTTGCTATTATTCTTTGAGGGAGACCCATGTGTGTGGAGGAGATTGTTGGGGTATGGACAATGACATATCCTGGGTCCCTGTCCATAATGCCTGCTAATACCACTCCAAATTCACTCTCTCTCCTAATAATCTTTCCTACAGTTGCCTTAATTCAAACTCTCATTATCCCTGCACTTTAAGTGTTCTCTTAACAAATTGGTGGCTTCCAGCCTCACTGCCCTTCAGGCTCACTGTCCTCTTTGCTTGCTGGAATGATCTCTACAAAACTCTATGTGTCACTCTCCTTCTTCAAACCATTTGGTGTCCCCTCTGCCAGTTACTACAAATATTCCTCTTTTTTTTCTGTGCCTCTTGGCACCAGCTACATGCTTCTACTGTAACT